CTCAAGTGGCTTAGTCAGATGTAATAAGACGTTGTATGTCCAGTTGTTCTCTTAGCGGATATACAATACTTAATATTCACATTATAGTGCTGTTGGACTACTGGATGAGATACAAATTGTGTTGCAGAGGAGGAGTCGACTTGGATGGCTCAATGACACATACCGTGACGTAGCACTCTTCTCCGGACCTATAACGGATCTATTTAAGAAAGGTGCGACAAGAATTTCATCCATCATGCAAAGTCTAAGTATTTTTTTCAGATAAGCTTCGTATGTTCGTCCCAGATGCGCTTGGTTCGGGCGAAGCAGTCATATCCATCGAGATTGATCCACCCATTCCTAAACTATCGACTGACGCGTGGATTAAACGAATGGAGAAAACTCGGAAGATCATAGAAGACACTCCAATGAATCGGTCCGAGTCCATTAACCGTCTGGTTAAATTTACTGGATTCGTTTCAAATCTAACCGCTGTTGTAGAAGATGTACGATTGCACTCAAACCTGCCGAAATATCTCCTCTAATGTTTTATTTTAGCTTCATCCTTTCGTCAAGATTTCTTCTGCCATCTTTTTCGGAGCGTATAATGTAAGTCGAATACGGAAAGAACAATTAAATTTCGCTGAGTCGCCTCTAGATCATCCAAAAATCGGAAGATATCCAGGATTCTCTAGGAAAACTTACTGAAAACCTAGAGGAATTGTTGGTCAAAGAAGAGGCTTTTCAGCCCTACTACGATAGTTTAGGAAATGAAGACCTTCGACATATCATCGGAGAGGTACTTCTCGATGTGGCTGGTATACTCATTTCAATGGCTCGAAAGCCGTATGCCTGTGAGTATCGGCATGGAATGTTTCACTATCTCTATTCACTCACGATGGATAGACCGAGCCGTAACTAATGCTATATCTGTCGATCTGCCCGGAACGCTACAAAGTCTCAAAGAAGATTGCGATAAGCTCTCGAAAAAGATATATGACCGAGTTATTCTTCGAAAAGGTGCGGAAGCATGGAAGACTTAATATATTATTATATTGAGAATATTTTTAGAAAGATACAACGAGATCGCAAAATGGCTCAATGTGACCTTCGATTGGGATAAGCGATATGATGAGGCTTTGACCAATCGATCTGGGAAGACGGGATCCAGTTTCCTTGAGTTACCGGCGTTTACATCTTGGAAATCTGCGACTAAATCCGATGTTCTTTGGATATCTGGAATCCGTGAGTGTTTTCACTTTATTCCCTCCGCCTCATCTCATCAATTCAATAGCTGGATGCGGCAAAACGGTACTATCGTAAGCATATTTCTTTTTATCGTCACATTATAGAGGCTTATACATTAATTTAGGGCCATCATCATCAACAAGCTGAAGCATGATTGGAAGACAGATAAACAATCACATTATATGACATACGTCTTTTTCGATAACAGATCGGGTCAGCATGCTCGAATGACCTTCGAAGATTTTCTACGTTGTATCATCAAACAGATACTTGACGAAATCAGCCCCAAGATTCCCAAAAGCCTCCTTGAATTTTGCCAGAAAACTTCTAAGCCGGGGAACAATGAGGAACTCCGACGCGCCTTCGAAAACCTTATACAGGAGCTAAAGGACACAACGCAACACGTTTACATCGTTTTGGATGCTATTGATGAATTCGCTAGTCAGGCGATACACAGGAAGAAATTGATTGACTGGCTCAAGGAATTGTCCTCTTGGGATTTGCCGGTCTTACATATTTTGGTCACGAGCAGAGATCAAGATGAAAGCGGTATCCACAAAGCTATGTCGTCAATACAACCAAAGAGCCATATCCAACTTCACA